AATAAAGTATTTCCACCACCACCAAGGGGGGGGGGGGTGAGGGGAAAGGGCGGAGACAAGGATGTTCGACCATACTCTATGATTCTTTGTTCCCCCCTCTCCTCTTCTAAATTGAAAAAAAATTAGAAGTAGAGGAGGGAAGGTACTTTAACGCTCCAAACTCCTCCTAAGCTACGCGACTGTCGAGAATTGCAGCGCAGTAATTTTTGTCTCTAAGCTAACGCAGTGCTTCTAATGTACAGGCGGGCCCACTGTTAAAAAGAACGCTGCGTGCACTGTTTGTTTAAGATCAACTCTCTTGCAAAAACATAATCGTTAAGATTTGCGTGAAACTATGCCCTATTACCAGACTTCGTTTGACAAACTAGTGACATGAATGGACATTGATTACTCGTGCACTTGCTGTCAGAGGGCAGGCAGTACCAACGGTGATCGTTGCAGTGTTCCCTTTAACAGGGGACGGTCCTGTACGCAGAAATGTGTCGACCGTATTTAGCAATGTTCCAACTCAACCACCTGCCTACAATAACAGAGATACCGATTTTGGGGCTCTCTCTATTTAAGTCTTCTCTTTCAGATTAGGTGATAAAAAATGTTTATAGATCTGGTTTTCTGATGGGCTCTCAGAAGAACAAAATAGAAAAGAGAGGTGGCTCTACTTCCCCATTTCGCGGATGTATCTATCAACGCAGACAAAAAAAGTGAGGGGTGATATGCAGAGGCTGTCTCCTGTTCAAACTTTATTCACTCCGTTCAGCGCGGAAAGCAATAAATCACGAAGAAGAAGCGGTGGTGTGAATCGCGCTGTGGCAACCAACTTACAAAAAGACGTCGCATAAACGGCGCGGGGGGACGCTCACTTAAATAAGCCTGCGGTCAGAACGCGTATCAACATTTGCATTCATGGGTTCCATTCATATAGGAAGGTAGTGGCTCCATTTTAAGGGATCCCAAACCGGAAATTCGCCTATCGTTTCAAGATCACCCTTCTGCCGCAACGCCCTCACGAAATTCCTTTTTTGGTTTCTGGCAATACCTTTCGTGACTTGAAGCAATGCGCTTCCAAGCCGAGATAAATCCTCAAACAAGTAAAAACAAGAAGAAAAAAACGCGTGCCACGCGACGTAAAAGAAATACGGTTAAAACGACTATGACGGGGACCAGCTGAAGCGTTGTCACCGATTCAAAATCAACACCGGGAACCTATTTTCTGTTGAATCTGTAGCCTTCCATATCCCGACATGAAATATAAAGCAACTGTAGTAAAGCAACACGCCCGGCCTCAAGCGCAGATTGCATCGGATACGGTTCGGCGTAGGGTAAAGGAAACAACCCGAGCAGCTTCGAAAAGCGAAAAAGCCGCGATGAGTCAGGGTCAATGGCTAATCCATGCAAATGGCTTGCCCAGGAGATGCGTATCCGTCCGCCTGCAGGGCTTAATCCGAGGAGATTAGGGGAAACGTGCCGACAATGGTGAATGCGTTTCGGAAGCGCCCCCACCGTATCGGAACCCATCGTTGCGCTTGCTCTCAACATGCTCGGCAAGTGCACGCTCAGAATACGCCTCATGGCTTCGAGTGCAAAAATAGCAACAAAAATATGGCTCCCCCGTGAATGAGATGACTGCGGAGGGTGAGGGCAGCGCAAACAATGGACTAATGTATGCGTAAAGGGAAGTGACGTAGACTAATGACGCTACTGAAGCACGCTGTTTTGGCTGTCTAGCGCTTCAACTTTTGGCTTCTTCAGCAGACGACGCTACCAAACGACCGAGCAGGCGACGATACGTGCCGTCTGCTATCGCGTGTCGTTTCTTTGCTCCCGTCTTCCTATCTAAGTGCGGTAGTTTTTACATGTTTTAAAGCACCATAGAACGCGCAAGAGTGAGATTCTGAGCCTTCAGGGTGATCAAGACTTTAGATGCAGTTGTGATTAATGATGGAGGACAACGAAGCTGACGCACCGCAGGAAATACATCGGGGGATGCATCATAGAACGTAGTTCACATCGGATAATGGCTTCCAAAAAGCTTCACGTGATTGAACTCCTATTTCTCAATCACATCATCACTAGGAACACATATAGAAGCGTTTGTTCAGTTTTTCCTTGCTTGGGTACCAGCTTTATTGGGAATCTAGTAGCAGAGAGCCCGGTATCTCAAGAAAAAAACGCAAAAAAAGGCTTAAATCGTGGGATATTTTCCAATTGGAAAAATTGCGTTATCTCAAGCGACACTGTTTATTGTCACGCTGTCTTCTGGCTTTCCACTTAACAATGAATACATATCTTACGTGCCGTGTTCTACTCATTTGAATATTTGATAAATAGTTAATTGCACTTCTTCAGGGATCGAAGCTCTACTGATAATCTAATGTATTATTTTCGTACGAGTGTTGCACTTTCTGAGCTGAACATGTCGCCGTACGTCAGAATGGATAAGTTTGTCAGCTCATACAATAAAGGGCTGCCCTTAGCTGAAAAAAAAATTTCGCAGAACCCACGTACGTGGGAATCGACGTACTGCGAAGCATGCGTAGAGAAGGTGACCTAGTTTCAGTTTTTTTTTATTGAGCAACACGTCATAATTATAATATACGATAATTATATGTAGAACTGTTGCCGCACAAACATATTTTCAAGAGTTTCAGATGTTTATTTAACCAGTTTTTTGCACTAGCGCAACGATGTAAACTGGAACATGTGTATTAGCAGCACCAGAAGCTGTTATGAGGCGCTGATACTCGCGAAGATGATACTCGCGAAGATGATACTCACGAAGATGCTGGCGTTGGACACTGTTCCATAAATCAACTTCAGGGGCATGGCACATAACCACAATTAACATTAACACCGACGTGACGGCTTTATCACGAGGAGTGCATATGTAATTTGAGAAAATTAGGTAGGCAGTACTGCAACCACTATTGACGTTTCACGAATATTACCGTCTATTTGAAAAGTAGTTTTGAGGCCTGGCGTTAGCTCTGCGATAAAATGCTTCACTGCCACGCATAATGCTTGGGTTCGACTCCTGCTGGGACCCTAAAATTATTATTTGCATTCATCGGGGGTCAACGTTGTATATTTCCGGGTTTTCCTCAGCACTTACATTTATTCTGTCATCGTTGGGTCGACGCGACCGCTATCGGGTATTTCTTAACGCTTACGCGTTAAAATTGCCCAAGTGTGTTTTCATCGTTCCTAGGTTGATACTAAATTTCAATCACCTGTGGAACATAACCGCATACAAGCGCACATACCCAACCGTGGGTATGTGCCACTGTCTGAACGGCAAGGGTTTGACGACGTACGTGACGGATTGTGAGATTATTGTCTTGACCAGCGTGTCATATTCGTCAAACCATCTTACCCTCGCCATGCTAATTTCGGTTCGCGTCAAGTTAGAGGGGTGACCACGAGAGCACCCAAACATAAGCGGCTATATAGATAGATAGATAGATAGATAGATAGATAGATAGATAGATAGATAGATAGATAGATAGATAGATAGATAGATAGATAGTAGATGATAGATAGATTAGATAGATAGATAGATAGATAGATAGATAGATAGATAGATAGATAGATAGAGAGATAGATAGATAGATAGATAGGATAGATAGATAGATAGATAGATAGATAGATAGATAGATAGATAGATAGATAGATAGATAGATAGATAGATAGATAGATAGATACGCTTAAAGTCGCTGAATTTTGCTGAGAAAGTCTTCGCCTTAAAAAAAACATCATGGTTGTGCACTAAACTTTTACTTGTGCCTTACTTGCGCAGGCTAGTTTGAATGCTCTCTCCAGTGACATTCGTCAGCTAATAATTAAATTATAACGGCTGTTTTTTTTTAATACAGATAATAATTTTGGTCGAGTTTTAAATAACTAATGCGGTAGCAAAGGGAAAGTTCACGGACGTAAACGTGAAAGAACGACCAAAGAAATTCGAAAAAGAAACTATAACTCAAGCTAAGAGTCTTTTTTTTCTTTAACAGCATATATGAATCATTATTTATGAATAATCCATTATTATGATTAATTCATAGTATTATAAATATAATATGATATAATATATGAATCATTATTAGGAATCGTTATTTATGATCGAAGTGTGACAATTTTCTGCACTGATGTAGTTTCGGTTCCTTTTATTTTAGCTGCTAGATTCTCGATCATGGACATGGTACCTTTAAAGGTCCATTTGGCACGCATAAACTTCGCTGCAACTATAATCTCTGCTTGGTGCTCACGAAACAACTGGGCGAAAAAAAAGTATGAACTGCTACGGTGAGCGGGGGGAGACCTGTTTCCCGCGATGCTCGACAGGAGCGGAAGTGGCGTAGCTGTCGCGCTGATCGGCGCTTCTCCTCCCCACCCGATAGAAAGATGAGAGAGAGGAATAAACAAAAAGAAGAGGTAAAGAGGCATGCGACGGAAAACGGGCGGCGTTGGGGAGCTCCAGCCGAGTTGCGCTCCGAGCTCTGCATCTGTGCCAGTCGTGGCTCTGGTCTGCTCTGAGGGAGGTCATGCACCGACGCTCTCTTCATATGTGGTGATGCGCTGTGTAGCAAAACGCCCTGCTGTGGCAGAGCAGTCATAGGATAAGGATACCAGGATGTATTCGCTGGTGAACAGCGTTAGAAAACGCCGGATAATCACGGGATATTTTGTAAAGACGCTAGAAACGTGAACTTCGAGTATATGCGATCAGCTGTAGCATCCCCGTTGTGCAAGAGCCAAAACAACATTATGTGTCATTGATAAGCGTAAGCGATGGCAATCGCTGAAGATGAAAGGAGCTCCAATTGTTTGCAATTATCCACTGGACTGTTGGAAATGACAACGCGGTAAAGTAACATTTAGAAAAACAAGTTTCGTCACCGGAACCAGACATGCAGTTGACACGTAGGTGTTCTGAACACATGTTTCGGTTACTTTACTACTGCTTGTTGCTGACTCTGAGAACCGGAGAGGCATCTACATTCCCGATGACGCGGAAGCAGACGACGCTGATTGACAGACCAGACGGCGTCGAGGCAGGTGATGTCCCGAGCTACGAAACGATGGCAGAGGAACCTGCTGGCCAGCACCCAGGTGGAGAGAAAACAAACGGGGCACCATCGGAACGAAGTGGCGATGCAGAGAAATTGGAAAGGCGGTTGCCGAAAGCCTTGATTATCGGTGTTAAGAAAGCAGGCACGCGAGCGCTGCTGGAGTTCCTCAGGTTGCATCCCGACGTCAGAGCTACGGGTCCTGAAACCCACTTCTTCGACCGCCACTACAGCAAAGGCATCGAGTGGTACAGGTAAGTGGGTGTTTCTCCTGAAATTTGTAAGATTCTAACTGTACGATGCAGGTGTATTATACTATATTATCAATCATGGTTCATGCAAGAACACCGTCAACAGAGCGGACTAACTGAAGGCTCGCACATATTTCACATGTACCCATTTGTACGAATGTGATATACGGCTCCGTGCAGGCGGAAAAATATAATATAAGTAAAGCAGTTCGCATCGCAGATTAAACCTCCTCCAAATATTTCCACTGCTACTTCAAGAAATACTTCGACAACTTGTAAGATTTAGATATTGAGCCAAATATTTCAAGGCATCGTTACAACACTGTAAATGTACCATAGCCGTACGTTCGTTAGGGAATAGATGCCTTCCGCGTAGCAATATTACGTAATGGTTTAGGCTACTTATCGAACCGCAAATAGATATAAACAACGAAATTACGCAGAGTTGTTTACGGCTGAACATATAGTTTGAAGTCAAGGTGTGTTTTATTTAGTTGACTTTAACTGTCATTGCTCTGTTATTAATCATTTATTGCTTTCGAAATTAACGTTTTCGCTAAATGTTTTATATATAACGTCCACTGCACAGGCACTGCGGAGGATATTCAAGGATACTTTAGCTTCCAATCTTGTGCTTTAGAAAAAAAAATACACTTCTAAATATTAAATTAGCGTGGACAAGCAGACCCCTGTTGTCGCCGATAAATCTTCCTTTATTTCTCTTCAAGGTTTGACAACATTGCCAATATCTAAAATATTTGTGCTACAGAATATTAGATGCAGTAGTGTCTTGGAACGCATACTTATCATTACAAGCATATCTGTTCGGACATATAAATAACTTCGGAGGACATTTTCCTTCACTATGACTGAGAGAGTCGCCAGTTCATATCCTAAACAAATTGTGATGGGAAAGTCACCTGTGAAACTGTGTCATGAATGATATTTCACCTTGAAGACACTTTTCAGACGCTCTGTTAGTGTCAGAGTGCCAATATATAGTGTCGAGCAGTCCCCAGCACAACCGTGTAATAGCGAAGACTCACGCATTCTCTCTTTGCCAAAAGCTGACGCTATCGTTGCGTGACATCTGTTGACTAATTTGCGATAAGCTTTTCTACAGCTTAGTGCTAAAGTTTACAAGACTGGATCTCTCTGCATGCGTTAAAAAAGAGGCTCATTGGCCCCAAATAACTTTTTTGCACTACTTTTACATCTTACAGGCAAAACACTCTTCAGAGGCAACTTTAGCGTGCCTTGTTTATGGACAACGTGAATGGTCAAAAGTCCTACTGACGTTTACGAAAACGTCATGTTGCTTTTAATAATTTGTTTGTTCCGGGTTGAATGAAGAAGTTTCATGTACATGTGCATCGCTGTGTGTTGAGCACGTCTACACATTAGCAATGCTAAACAATGAACGCGGTATGGCCAAAGCGGAAGAATAGTCTAAAATAAAAAAAAATATTGGGGCTGTAGGTAACAAAGTAGTGCTGCGAGGTGGAGACAGGTACAAAATCTGTTGAATTTACTAAATAAACTACAAGTATACGTAGGACAAAAATAAAGATGGTTTGAGTTTTCATTGTCCCACTTACACCTATCGCATCAGCATTGGGTTAGTTCGTGGGTGCTTGACTAGCTGAAGAATACTACATTGACTTCACTTGCTTGCTGGCTTTCAACTTTGTTGTAAGCGTCTGCATTAGGCATTATGCATGATTGTGTAAAAAAAAATTCGAAAAATGAAAGAAACTGCCCTTGGCCGACATGCGTCTACAAAATTTGTTTTTCTTTCAATGCCGTTTTATGTTCTTTTTTGCAATGCCGTCCTATCTTACAGACAAAACACGCTTTACAGGCAACTCTGTAGCATAGTGTGTGATGTGCTGTCAACCTAAATCTTTAGGTATCTGTTCTTTCTTTCATTAAAACAAGGACTTTTAAAAAAAACGATGCTGTTAACGCCTGGATCTAGACCTCTATATATCGAACATAGAGAAGTAGGTGGAAAAAAAGGTAGAAATCAAAACATAACTACGTTGTGTCATGCATAAAATACGGATAATTTGTAATGGCGTAAAAAAAGTGATTTACCTTCTGTCAATTATTTTAAAAAGATGAGTTGCCATAAGCCTGACTGCTGATAACGAAATTCAATTCGTAATACTAGCGATAAACGTGCCTTATAATGATATATTCTTTTCTTAAACTTGAGGTGCCAACTCCTGAAAATAGTAATAATAAATCCGGAACCCGAGCTCTTTCTATATGATAGTGGAGCACAATATACGACGACGACGACATATGAAGGCTCATCGAACATAACGAGGCCAAATGAACCAACGGGACTAAAGAAGAAACATTTATGAAAATATGTCAGCCTATATGATTCATTGATAGTTCCAAAGGGACCGGTAAGACAGGGCCAACACAAGCATGTGCCTCTGTACAATCAGGTAAACATACAAAAGGAGCAGTGTACTATTTTCAAGCAAGTGGTCTGTTCATTGAATGGGTAGTCAAAGAACTATGTAATATGGACATTACTGTAAATATTTCCTGCGACATCTAGGCTTGCTCTTTGGTGCGTTTTATCTTTTCCTAGAACGTCGTTCTTGAAGTCGCCATTAGCTAAAACGTACCTTTAAAAAGGTCGCAGTGTTTTCACACTTTGATCCATTTTGAACTAAACGAAACGCTTCTTTGTCCTCACCCGTATAAGGAAGTTGTGCCTGTTATGCATGTATGCGGCATATGCGTATTTCACTTCGAATATGGCCTTACATTTTGAGGAACCAACACTTTTTTTAGAAAAACGGTCTTTCCAACTTTTCTTGCGCTTACAGGAAATGTCCTTGCTTAGGCAAACCGGACGTGATCTGCTTCAGTAATAAAAGACACCATGTATCTAAAGAAATACTTCTTAACCACGTTTGCAGCACACCTTCTAACAACCAAATGCCTTTCGAATGACCCGGGCACAGAGGTGTACGGAACGATACCTCGCCCCCTTTTTTTCTCGCGTCACGTTCCCTCATGCGTGTCGGGCAATGAAAAAGGAATCATGGCTTCACCGAAGGGAACAGCTCGACAGAACACGTGGTGTAGCCCGGAGCAAACATCGAGTGCTTGCAATCGAGCTCCTTAAGGCGTCCCGAGCCCCTGATTAAGTAGAGCATGGAAAAAAAAGAAAGACTAGAAGGAGGGCAAACACACGGGGAATCAAATAGTTGGCGGCGGCGGCGACACCGAGCTGTGTTCTCCGTTGTCACAATGTCTGCCTGTGTTAGGGTAGACAGCCCGGGAGATAAAGGAGGCGGGGGAAGAGAAGGTGGGACGGTAATCAAAAGGTGCGTTGCGTGTGGCGGCCGCCAGCTGGAAAGGCGATTAAGAAACAGTAAATGACACCCATTAGAGGGGAGAGCGCGACAGGTCGTAAGTGAAGCGGGGAGGAAGCCTGGCCTTTACGAGTCTCGCGAACACTGACTACCCGTGCTTTTATTCTTTTTTCTATTGTTCTCACGGGATCATTTCTTTTTGTCTCTTTTTTCCTATTCCTCTTCAATCAGTGAGCTATGCCGAATCACCATTTTATTATTTTTTGGCTGGCACGTGATCTATGAGGTGACAGTGCTCTCTTTTCTTTTTCTATTTTGACCGGGCGGCGTAGTTATTTAGTCGAACCACTTACGGGGACGCGCGCTACGCTGAAACGGATGTAGATGGGCTTTAAAGATTTCTGTACTTCATTTAAGGGTATATTTCTGGTTCTGCGTGCTCTGAGTAGACTTCTGGGGCAATTTTTGAAGAGGGTGAATTGTACAGGGGCGTTTATTTTCTGATAAATAACTACTTTTTTTGCCTGTATTCTATTTTGGAAACATTAGTTTTTCGAAAAATAAATTGTTTAAAATCATCAGTGATGGAGCCAATGGTAATGAGTCCTGATACTTTGTTACTATCTTTTGAATTCAAGTGCCGCATTATAAGCTGTGCTTACAAAAACTTGATAAAATGTTGAGATTTTTTACTGCGTTCGATTTATAATCAAGCAGCACTACACTGAAGGCGTTTTTTATTGGGATAAGGTTTCACTTTAAGGCTTAATGCTGTTTGTGTACGTGTGTATTAGGTGGGTGCGGTGAAGGCTGTTTTGCGTATGATTTAAGGAGTTTGTAGTCGAATGTATTGCGTGTTCAATGGTCATAGCTGGTCACGATACTGTAGAAAAGCATCTTGCTGCGCATGAAATTATATTTGTTGCGGTTGAGTTGGAGCCATTTTTAATTTTTTTTTTGGTATTGGGAACAATTGAATGCCAGGTCACGGGATTAAATCCCGGCTGCGGCGGCCCCACTTTTGATGGAGGCGAAAAAGCTGTTGGCCCGTGTGCGCAGACTTGGGTGCACGTTAAGGAACCCCAGCTGTTGGAAATTTCCGGAGTCCTCCACTACAGCATCTCTCATAATCATATGTTAGCATAGGGACGTGAAACCCTCTATATAAATCAATACTAGAAAGCCTGCACACATTTAGCCTATAGATTTACTGGAAAAAAATTGTGCACGCGTTCCCGAAACGTCCGAATAAAATATAATTTTGATCACGCATTTCACTAGTTATTCATCGCCTGATGCCACAGGAACTTGTTTCTTGAAAACTGCTAACATTTGCAAGTAACTTATTCACTTGTGATAACCAAATGCGACGTTCATACATATACAGTAAGATGTGCAGTGAAAAAAAAGTACATTGCACATGGACACTCGTTAGCTCCTTCATGTCAGCAGATGTATCTGTAATGCCACACCTAAGAGAAGGCCACGTCTAAGTGTAGACTGAATGCCGCTAGAACCCAGGCTTTTGCCCTTTCTGTTTGTGCTATGAGCAACTTGTCACGCTAACAATATTGTTAACATTGTTAACAATATTTATAACATTGTGCTGTCCATGGGATAGTTTTACCATTTTGGGGGCACACTAGAGTATTACAATATCAA